TTCAGATGCTTGCTTCTTTTTATCCTTACTCTACTTGCCAGTAAGCATCTCCATCACCAGCCTACCCCATGCATCATAGCACCAGTTTCCTAGGTAGAATTTGAACACGGGGTCATAGCATCATGGGTTGGAAGGGACCTCGTGGATCATCTAGTCCAATCCCAATATGTTCAGGACCATTTAGCAGATCAGTGCACATGATGCATAGCCACAGAGACAATTTCCCCATGGACAATGTATTTTTTTAATGCTTTTTTTTTGACAGAATGGTTTGATAGCCCAGTTTGTTTTTTCAATGAATTCCTGTTCCTGAAAAACAGGAATTTCCATTTTTTTTTTAAACAGAAAATAAAGAAATGTAAGTAAATGGGCTAAGTTTAGTAAAGGGCTGACTACTGAGATGCTCAGGCCATATTTCTTCTTTATTTGTGATTTGTATTACAGAGGGCTCATGTGTTGCCCTATAGGTCTCAAAGGACATGGTTACAGGGGGTGTATCAGATAACCTAGCCAAGCCCATGTGCACGACACAGCTCTTCTAAAAGGCAGCATGACCCAGTGGAAGAAAGGTGGATCTGTCCTACTGAAGATCTGGTTTCTGGGCTCAGCTCTGCCAGCAAAACTTGAACATCCTCTTTCATTCTGCTGCATCCATCTGGACAGAAATCCTGCCTTGCCTGCTTATCAAAGGTTGTGAAAATACAGGGCCTGGTACACACTTAGCCAGAGTCTGAATATGGGATAGTTGATAGGTAATGGCTTACGACTAAAATCTGCAAGGGCCCTAAGGTTAGATGTACACCAAGCGCAACTGGAATTCAATTTGCATTTAGCACCTAGCACCAGCACCCAACAGCACTATAACAATCCCAGCCGATGTATGCAAAGTATTCTGTCATGCAAATCATGTTTTTTTTTCTTTATCCTGGTTCACTCATACATTGATGGTAAAGCCAGTAAAAAGCACCTCTCTGACCTGCGTGCCTTCACTGCCAAATTTCAAGTTTCTTCCCCAAATCACTGTAACGCAAGACTTAAGAAAAACAAAGACATTGGCGTTAAAGGGACATTTATTTTTTGCCTGTTTTTTGAAGGCAAATTTATGTAGAAAACGTCAACTGCGAGCCCCGCGCATGGAACATTTCAGCTTGGAAAGCGAACAAGCAGCCGAAGAGCGGAGGGCGATAATGGAAAGTGTTACACAGTGAAAATGTACATTGACGAGCTTAAGAACGTCATTGCTTTGCTGCCTATAATAATTTCCATTTAACGTTATAGCTGAAAAATTAAACCCATGGCCACGGCAGTATGATTTCTCTGCTCCTTTACCTCAAACAGGCAATTAGGGGAAAAAACAAAAAGAGAGAGAAAGAAAATAGGTCAAATGTTGACCCACAAAGATGGGATTTTGGTAATTCTACCATTGCTCAGTCCCCTTCCACTCTTCATGTGTCATCTGTGGATGCATGACAGATCGGACCACTGCTCTCAAACAGGAAGCAGTCAGGAGAGAAGTGTGTCATGAAGTCGCTATCATCCAAGGAGAATTAGGGCGATGGTGACTGTGGTGACCAGAAGTATCGAACTTAATGTGTAGTGAGTTGTTGGGCATGCCACGGTTCCTACTAGACATGCATCCAGACCTCTGGCTTATAATACGATCTATAAGCATCTCACCGGCATCTTGTGCATGCCTCTCCCTTGTTGTTTCTTGCCTTGTTTCCATTGGAAACACGTCAGAGGAGGGAGCATGCTTTGTTACCCATTTGGGCAGCCCTGAGCAGAGGGGGTTGGTGTCCTTTAGTTATTACAGCAACAGTGAACAATGATGCTCTTTGAATCTTATGGAGTGATCTGCAGTGTCATAATATTATAGTCCCACAGTGATATCTGCAGCTGTATTTTTGCCTAAGTTTTTGCATTGTGCCTCTCCCCGTGGTATCTGAACACACCCCTAACCAGCGATAGTTATAAGCTGCTTTCTGCTCTAAATGGGCAATAGGTTGATGATCATTTCCAGCAATTAAGCATTTGAGCCCACTAGTAGCCAAGGATTAAATGAAGACAAAAGTTGAAGACAAAAGTTGCAGTGTCCGCCCACTCTGAGACATGGTCTTTCTGTATCACGGTGGGGGTACGTTGGCTAGGTGGCAAAGGTAGCTGTTGCCCATCTCTTTATCCATCAGTCAGGTACACCCCCCCTCCCTTCTGCTAGTTTAGCTCTTATAATATCACTTTCTTTTTTAAGTAATATGTTATACTTCAGAAAGTATAACTCCCCAACATCTCATTCCATCACCAAGGTATGTCCCCTTTATTGTTGGAGTAGGAATAATCATGACCTTTATATCTGAGTTGTCCCCTGCTTGCCTGTGTACTTCTTGAGTGCTGTGATTGCCAAGGTGGAGCTCGACTTCATTACATTGAAAACAGCAGCAGCATGGGCTGGAGAAAGAGAAAGGAAAGACAAGCTTGGCTGCGGTATTGGTACTACATAGTGTAGCTGGGGTGTGTTTCACATGGTGCACGACTAAGCATGTATTAGAACCTAGAATTAAGGCTCTTAATTTACAACCTGCAGTTGCAACCTTAATTCGTTCCCCTTGTGTCTATGGACTAGATGATGCCCTGAGGACCCTTCCAGCCCTACTTTTGTCTGATTCTCTGACTCTAAATGCACCATGATACAGTCTGTAATATCATGATCCCCTATGAATTTTTACACAGTCTGCCCAGCCTCATTCAGGACCCAGGGATGGGCCTGCTATAGCAGGGCTGAGAGATGAAGGGGACTGTTATCTGTTGAGTATCCACCTCATTTGTCATTTGTTGTGTACTGGATGAAGCAGAGGAAGGAGGGTCTGGGGGGGTTGACAGCTGCCTTGGAGAACTGCATTCTGCCCTTGCCTTTATTGCAAAACTCCTTTGTGATTGCACCCGAGCTCCTTATACCAAACCTTTCCCATGTCTCACCTCCTGAGTGCTCACAGCCGCAGCTGAAATCACTGTCCTTTGAACATGCAAAGCACCACATACTCTGAAAACACAAGTCTAAGTGTCTCAAATAGAGTTCCCCAAGCCAGCAGTTCCTTACCCTCTCTCTGCCTTAATTTCTCACCTGTAAAATGGGCATAATATGTCTCCCTTATTTCACAGGGGTGCTATGGAAATATATTAATTAGTGGAGGGTATTGGGGGCACGTGCCCCTCAGATTTGTGTGTGGGATGGGGGAGGATGCAGGATGCCCATTGCAGGCTCGGTGCTCCCTGCCCTGTTGCCGACCCCCCAGGAGCCCCACGCTGGCCATGCTGCTGTGGCAAGGCACCCCCTGCCTCCCTGGCAGTGGCACGGAGTTGTGCCCCCTGGGCAGGCAGGGGGCTCCTTGCCATGGTGGAACAGGGAAACACAGGAGGAAAAGGGCCCAGAAGACCTTGCAGGGAAGTGCCCACCCCACTCAGCTTCTGATTCCTTCTCCGGCCCTACAGCTTTTGCCTTCCTTGACGCGGGGGGTGGCCAGCAAGAAGAGGAGGGATCACAAATCACGCTCACTCCAATTAGTGAGCTTTCATAGGAGATCCCAAGGATTGCACCAAACCAGGAAGAATGGAGGGAAGTTATTGCTACATCCAACGTGCCTCAACGGTCAGTGCGGCCTCGGGACCGACTGACACGGGAGATGTGGAATTGAAACCCCAGGCCAAAGACAGCGGAGAACCCTAGACCCTGGGAGAGGACTTCCCATCACCTGGGTGAGCCTTCTGCTTGTTAGGCTGTTATGCATGAGATAGGCACTGCTGCCACAACCATGCTTCAAGGAGAGAGCCTGAATATAAAGATGCGACTTAGCCACCTAATTCTAGGCCTGGGGTTGAGGCTGTGCATCCCAGTCTCACGTAGGTCTGGGAGAGAAGTGGGATTTCAACCCTGCCTCCCTCTTTTTCAGTGTTTTCTATAAGGTGGCTAAAGTATCCCCCTACCCATGTGCTCTAGGGCATTTAAATGCTCCCCCTCTGTTTTCGGACTCCGGTCTTAGAGTCAGCCGCCTAGAAATGGCATTGCTCAAGGCTGCCAACTTTTTGCATTGGGTGTAAGCCTGTATCGAACATGTGCCAACTGGAGGCTTTCTAAGCTTGGCCACATTTAGTGGTGTCAATCCAGCACCGAATTCATGTCCCTGTCCCCCCGTCACAGCCTCTGTCTATTCAGAGGCCAAGCTGTTAGAGGCAAAGACTCCCTCTGTGTGCTTGTTCAAGGCCAATTTCACCTGCAACCTATAAATATAAATACTACAGCTACAAAATTGGGGGGGGTGAACCTCAAAAAAGCATCCTTTTTTAAGAAAAAAATTATGCTGTAATCATGGTCTCATTCTATGCCTGGCATAGATCCTGTGGCACAAATCACGTCTGACCAGGTAGTGGTAATTAGAGCAGGTATCATCATGTGCAAGGAACTGAATGGATGTTCCCTGAACAGCCTTAGTTCTGGTATTTCTCAGCTATGGCGTGGTTGACTTTGTGACCTTAATATTTTTGTGGAGAGGGTTTTTTGCGGGGGGGTAAGTAATATCTGTGTGTTTGTGGAGACAGCACTGACTAACACAAGAAAGAAAAATGCTGAGTGTGCAATATTGGAAGTGAGATTTCTGTCTCACTCTTTGGTTATTTGCCACTTCATGGCTTTATCTGCCTGATCAAACCTTATCAGGTGGCTTGGCTAGCATGACAGCAGGGTGGTTGCCTCATCATTTGCATTTCCCGTGTCCCCTATATGGTGAGATCTCGCGGAAGTGGCATAGAAAAATAATGTCAGCGAGTCTCGACCTAGAATGAGAGCGGGCAGGAAAGTCACCGGTACGGTGCAATGGAAACGATGGCCGTGATTGAAGACTGTTATAAAAGGGGACTGCGATGGGACTCTGTTACCTGTGCAGGTGGAACGAGCTCGCGGAGAAGAACAGAGTCAGGCAGCGAGAACCTGCAATAGGAGCAAGACAGCGATGGCTTTTGCAAGACACCTCTCCCTGGTAAGTGCTCATCTCTTATTTAGAGCATCACAGAACAACTTCTAGGGGTCCTCGGAGACCAGGGCTGTCTGTGATCACCTACTAGCTTTCATGGGAATGACAATAAGGTGACATAATTGGGCTTTTAATCTCCAGGAGGTTTTTTTAAAAAAAAAGCTTCTAAAGTGGATTCAGTGCTTGATTGACAGCTCTGGAGACTTAACTACCAGAAAGGGGATATAGCAGGGGCAGTGCAAGCTGCCCTTTTCTACTTCAGTGAGAGATGTCTCCAGGCTGTGCTGGGAGGGAGTGGACTAGCCATTTATTAGTATTTATGGTTGCAGGGGAGATCGGCCTTGCACAGGCACATGGAGAGAGTCCCTGCCTCGAACAGCTTTGCCTCTGAATAGAAAGAGGCTGAGAGGAGGAACCGGGGAAGCAAATGGTTTACTGCAAATAACTGTTTTGGGGGCAAAGGCACCCATAAAAAGATGGCCTTGATAGCTCTGTGCTCTTGTGTCTTGCACTGGAAGTGGCATAAACCCTACCGGATCTCCAAGCCTTGCCCAACAGGTCCTAATCATCTCTGCTAGAGTTGGGCTTGGACTTTAGGGTTGAATGCTGAAGCTGAGGGCTGGCTATGGCAGCCGTAACTCAGTGCCCAGGCAGGGGGATGAAATCCAATTCCATATTGGATCTCACCCGCAAATGCTGTCTGCCTTCACCATGCACTGTGTGCGTCCACCTTTGTTTCATGAGTCACAGGAGAGATCCTGGTGACTTGTGTCCGGGAAACTTGGGCGTGCACCAGTGGTCCCGGCTCTTCTTTGATTAGATTCAAGAACGTTGCTCCTCTCTTTCAGTTCGAGTCACTGCTTTTCGTGCTCATCCTGGCGCTGTCAATGAAGAGCTCAGCCTGCGGGACGCCTGTACATCATAAAGGCAACAGAGAAAGTGCCTCTCTGAACCCGGGCAGGAATTGCTTGAACTCGAAGAATACTGAATTCCCCCGCCGTGTGAAGGTGGATGTACGCTTCAGCAACCCAAACCCGGCTACCGAAGTGGCTTCCGATGTCAACAACCGGTCACTGTCTCCTTGGGATTACAGGTAACAACCTTTACCCAGAAATGCATGGGCAGGAAACATTGCTCAAGTGTTTATCACTGTCCTGTGATGATCAACCAACTCCGTGTGGGCTTTCAGGGATGTATTTGGTAGCTGGGTTGGTCCGAGACAAAAATAAATGCAAAAATCTTGGTTCAGAGATAATACCTTTTATTAGCCTAAGAAACTGCAAAAAAAAATACATCTTTTTCTGCAAGCTTTCAGGCTACCAAGGCCCAGAGCACTGCTAGGGGTCAGGTTGTGCTCCAGCTCTTAGCACGTGAGTAGATTTCTAAATGCAATTCTGTTCCAGCCTGCTCTATTCCCTGAAAATCTGTTAATACAAAAGATGGTGGGGTCTTCTCCTCCTCGCTGCCTTTTTGGACTCAATCTTAATGGTAAGAAGATGGTGTGTTAAAACAGGAGATGTACTAATGGATTTTCAGGACTTGAACAAGGTGGAACAGACAGTCCACTTAGGATGCTCAATAGCTGGAATAAAATCTAGCCCTAGATAAACTCATCTTGTTTAGAGCTGGGTAAAGTTTTCCATGTGAAACTTCTTGCAGAGAAAAACACAGATTCAGCAACACTGAAATGTATAACCATGAATTAGAAATGCATGTCACTTCAATTTTCCCTTAGGACAAGCATAAAAAAATCCAAAGAAATCAGCAGGCTTTGTTTGGACATTTTCTACCTGACATGCTTTGATATGTGGAGTTGGAAATCTCCTTTCATTTTAAGCAAACCATATTAAAAAAAAAAACAAACCGGTCAAAAACAACATGAAAGCTTAATTTTTTTTATTGAAAAAAAAATGAAAATGTTGTTCAACCCAAGCCAGAATGATCTTATTAGCTTTTTCAAATTGCCAGTGTACTGGAAAATCTATTATTCATCTAAATCTACTCCATATATCTGTTACTAAAGGATTGTGTCATACCACTCGCCCAAATTTTCAGCCATATCTAGGAAATCATTATAAATGTTATTAATGCAAGGAGATTCCATAAGTGGTTCTAAGGGGTGTAGAACGCACTCAAAAGGAGATATTTTTTTTCCATAATGTATAAAGAGATGTATGGGACATGCCATCCTGGGATGTTTTAGCCAGTGCTGGAGTCGGGATAATGACCTGGATCGAGTCTTGAGTTGGTCTAATATTCCTAATGCTCATTGAGGCAGTCTTCAGGGACCTGATTAGCCCCTAGGGCCAGTGAGCCACAAATGTATTATGAATCCACCTTTGTACTTGCTTGTAGTCCCAGCTGGACTGAGCACTCCTTGGTGATCTCATACAGTGCTTCCTAATTTGCCTATTCTGGGGCAAAATGTGTAATAAATGTAGGCTTTTACAGAAAGGATTCTATTTTAGACAGAGATGATCTTGCCTTGAGCAGGGTGTCAGACTAGATGACCTCCAAAGATCCCTTCCAGCCCTCTTATATGAGCACAGAAGACAATAAGCAGGTCTATCAGTCCTTTTGCTTTGGCCCATCAGCTGGTCAATCTCAAAGCCCAGGAATGAACCCTCCACCCACTGTTATGCGGTGCTGTTATAGGCATCCCATGGATGCTTTCTGTTAGGAATCTCCCCCTGGCCTAACTTGGAAATAGTTTACTGAACTGGAAAAAACACCGATGTCTCATCTGCACGGTCCTTCTCTTTGTGTCTTGTCTGCAGCATTGATGAGGATCACAACCGGTTTCCCCAAAGGATCTCTTTGGCCAAATGCCGGTCTCTCACCTGTGTGAGCTCCACAGGGCAGCAGGACTTCAGCCTGAACTCTGTCCCCATTCAGCA